ACACACACACATATATACACACACACATATCCATATATATACACACACATATACACATATACATATATACACATACATATACACACAGACACACATATATATAGCTAAGTGAAAGAAGCTAGACAGAAAAGGTTACATTGTATGATTCCATTTATATAAGATATATAAAAAGGGTAAATCCATAGAGAGACAAAGCAAATCAGTCTTTGCAGGGTGACTGGGGAGTGACTGCTTGATGGGTACATGATTTCCCTTTGGTGTGATGGTAATGTTTTAAAACTAGGCCAAGCACACTGGCTCATGCCTGTAATCCCAACACTTTGGGAGGCGGAGGCAGGCGGATCACTTGAGGTCAGGAGTTTGAGACCAGCCTGGCCAACATGGTAAAACTCCATCTCTACCAAAAAACACAAAAATTAGCCAGGTGTGGTGGCAAACGCCTGTAGTCCCAACTACTCAGAAGGCTGAGGCGAGAGAACCACTCGAACCCAGGAAGCTGATGGAGGCTGCAGTGAGCCGAGATGGTGCCACTAGACTCTATCCTGGGCAACAGAGAGAGATTCTGTCTCAAAACAAAAAAAAAAAAAAGAAAAGAAAAGAAAGAAAGAAATGCTTTGAAAGTAAAAAGAGCTGATAGCTGCACAACACTAAAATGGTAAAATTGTGTATATTTTACCTAAAAAAAGTATATGGCGCATTTGTAAATCTTTCCAAACACGCATAAAACATGATTAAAAAAAAGAGTGAAGCAAATGGAAAGATGGACTATAAAGAGTTTGGCTATGTCAGAAGTTTTGCAATGATAAAGATATGGTGTCAAAACTGTATTACTACACCTGCAATCCCAGCACTTTGCGAGGCTGAGGCAGGTGGATCACAAGGTCAGGAGTTCGAGAACAGCCTGGCCAACATAGTGAAATCCCATCTCTACCAAAAATACAAAAAATTAGTTGGGCGTGGTGGCAGGCGCCTGTAATCCTAGCTACTTGGGAGGCTGAGGCAGGAGAACTGCTTGAACCCAGGAGGTGGAGGTTGCAGCGAGCCAAGATCGGGTCACTGCACACCAGCCGGGGCAACGGTGCAAGACTCCATGTCAAAAACAAAAAAACTGTATTACTTATTATCCAAGTAATAATATGCAGAAAACTGAGGCTGATAGTAAGCAAAAAGATGGGAGAAACAAGAAGCAATATGAGAAGGTGTTGGCAAAGGACCTACATGCATAAGATGGAATTTTCAAATAAGGCACACTAACCTTTCTGAGAACAGAAAAAAGGTTGAGAAGATCAATGGAAATGTAAAGATGAGGGGAGTTGAAGTTATCTAAGGAAATCAAATGGCCTTAGCCTTCTCAGGAAGAAAAGCATACCCTGAGAAGTTTGCAAAGTAACATTTCCAATGTACTGCATTTCTCGCAGGCCGGCACTGATCTTCATAATACCATATCTGCTAATGAACTCACCCTGCAGGACTCCTGTCACTCCTGTCCTCAGCTCTTCCATTTGTTCCAATCCAGACATGAGACTGGGTTTGCATAATTCAGACCCTGCTGGAGGGAAAAATGCACAAAAGAAGAGCCCCATGCAAGACATAACACCATGTCCTCGAATGGGGAACGAATACTTTTGCCTTCAGGGATTCTGAAGATGGTCAAGTGTAACTTTACAAACAGCAAACTAATCATACAACATTTCCAATACGTGCACTAAAACGATTTTAAAAATAGCAAAAATGTTGGCCGGGCATAATGGCTCATGCCTGTTACCCCAACACTTTGGGAAGCCAAGGCAGGCAGATCACTTGAGGCTAGGAGTTCAAGACCAGCCTGGCCAACATGGTGAAACCTCATCTCTACTAAAAATGCAAAAATTAGCAGGGCATGGTGGCATGGGTCTGTGGTCCCAGCCACTCGGGAAGTTGAGGCAAGTGAATTGCTCGAGCCTGGAAAACCAAGTCCAACTTCACATACACATTTAAAGTCTTAAAGTTTTTAATCCATACATGAAATAAACTCATTTACTTAAATCTTTATTTTCATGGGGAATCCTCTATGCCAGGGGTGTCAAATCTTTTGGCTTGCCTGGGCCACACTGGAAGAAGAATGGTCTTGGCCACATATAAAATACACTAACACTAACAATAGCTGATGAGCTACAACAAATGAAAAAACAGGTCTGTGCATAAATATCATAATGCTTTAAGAAAGTTCACAAGCTTGTTCTATAAAGTAATGCCCAGGCCATGCACATGGCTCACGCCTGTAATCCTAGCACTTTGGGAGGGTGAGGCAGGTGGATCACCTGAGGTCAGAGTTTGAGACCAGCCTGGCCAACATGGTGCAACCCCGTCTCCACTAAAACTACAAAAATTAGCTGGCTATGGTGGTGGACGCCTGTAATCCCAGCTACCTGGGAGGCTGAGGCAGGAGAATCACTTGAACCCAGGAGGGGGAGGTTGCAGTAAGCAGAGACTGTGCCACTGAACTCCAGCCTGAGCGCTAGAGCCATACTGTGTCTCAAAAAAAAAAAAAAAAAAAAAAAACCAGGAATGCCCACTGGCTAACGTCTATGCCTGTCTTGCTTACTTGCTTACTACAGTACCCCTATTTGACAGCAAACATTCAAGAAACATTGATTTCCTAAAAGGGTCAGTGAAGAAATGATGCCAGTTTTACCTAGTATAATGAGATTCTTGTAGTTCTCCAACATCACATCTCTGTAGAGATCTCTCTGGGTTTGATCCAACAAAGTCCACTCCTCCTGGGTAAAGTCCACAGCCACATCCTCAAAGGTCACTAAGTGCTAAACCATTAAATACATGCTGGCTTCAGCTAAGTACCATCTTCTTTGATGTTCTGAGAAAAATGCATGAAGGACTAAGGAAGACTAGAAGCCTGCAGTACTCCCAGGCCTCAGGCCTCTTCTCCTCTATATAGATATTGTCTTGCAACTGCATCCAGTCACGTGGACTCATCAGCATCACTGAAACATGACTAAACTGATCTTACTACAGCTTTACAATGGGTTCTTCTAGCCTCAGTCCTCCTCTATTTATAGTTGCAGTCTGCACTGAATATGTTGCAGCACTATGTAAAATCTAATAAAAATTGAAGTATCTCCACAGTGATGCAGAAATTCCTTCAGATTAGACACCTCCATCCCCTTCTTACAATCTGTCATAACAGTCAGCAAAACAATGAGCCAACAAGCATGATTGAGGATCAGAAAGAATTAGTAAATATTGAGATAAAACAATCATTTCCATTGCAATCTCTGTATAACCTGAGATGGCACGGTTTCTAGAGAAATTCATTTGGGGAGTTATTTCCTGAGTAGGACCATCATTTCTGTAAGATGCTTGAATACACAATAAGGAGGTAAGGCTACCTGATGACAGCTACAAGCATAACATTTTGAAGTTAGGTCTTTCCTAACTTGCCTGAGAAGAATCCATCAGTAATCTAGCCACCAGCCTTGCCTCCTCGATGTTCCTCTGATGAAGACAGAAAGTGTCCTGGAAAAAAATGACCTTTGGGAAAAGAATAATAGCATGTCAGTTGGATATATCAAACAAAAAATATTTTAGGCTGGGCATGGTGGCTCATGCCTGTAATCCCAGCACTTTGGGAGGCCAAAGCAGGCGAATTCCTCGAGGTCAGAAGTTTTAGATCAGCCTGGCCAACACGGTGAAACCCCGTCTCCACTAAAAATACAAAAAAATTAGCAGGGTGTGGTGGCACATGCCTGTAATCCTAGCTACTGGGGAGGCTGAGGTCGGGGGATCACTTGAACCTGGGAGGTGGAGACTGCAGTGAGCCGACACCATGCCACTGCACTCCAGTCTGGGTGACAGAGTGCGACTCCGTCTTAAAAAACAACAACAAAAAAATAGAGCATTTCCATACCCTGCATCTCAGACATAGTCTTTTCTATGACATGCCTCCCAATTGTAATACTATTCTGACACTTAATACTCTAGTTGGGCCAGGCGGTGGCTCATGCCTATAATCCCAACACTTTGGGAGGTCGAAGTAGGATGGCTTGAGGCCAGGAGTTACAGACCAGCCTGGGCAATATAGTGAGACCAAGTCTCCTTATTAAAAAAAAATATATACACACACACACACACACACACACACACACACACACACACACGTATATACGAAAACAAAGAATACAAGAAAAAATACTCTAGTTGACTTTGCTTAGCAACTATCAGACAGTAAGGATTCTTTTGTGTCCGGCTTTTTTCAGTCAGCATTATGCTTGTGAGGTGCACCCAAGTTGTTGTTTTCATCCACCTGTGATTTGGTTCATATCTTTGCTGAAGAATATGCCACAGAGGCCGGGCACGGTGGCTCACGCCTGTAATCCCAGCACTTTTTTGGGAGGCCGAGGTGGGCAGATCACTTGAGGTCAGGAGTTCAAGATCAGCCTGGTCAACATGGTGAAACCCCATCTCTACTAAAAATACAAAGAAAAATTAGCTAGGCCTGGTGGCTCGTGCCTGTAATCCCAGCTACTCGGGAGGCTAAGGCAAGAGAATCACTTGAACCAGGAAGGAGCCAAGATTGTGCCACTGCACTCCAGCCTGGGTGACAGAGCAAGACTCTGTCAAAAAAAAAAAAAAAAAAAAAATCCACAGAAAGAAATATGCCACAATTCATCCATTCTGTGGATCCACATTTGAGTTGTTTCTAATTTAGGCTATTTCAAATAATATGATGAATAACTTTTACATTTAGCCTGGCACACGTATGCATGTGGCATCACCAAGTCCATATTTAGTTGATACTGTTTAAAAATATGGCTGGGCACGGTGGCTCAGGCCTGTAATCCCAGCACTTTGGGAGGCCAAGGCAGGTGGATCACAAGGTCAAGAGATCGAGACCATCCTGGCCAAAACAGTGAAACCCCGTCTCTACTAAAACTACAAAAATTAGCTGGGCGTGGTGGCGCGCGCCTGTAGTCCCAGCTAGTTGGGAGGCCAAGGCAGGAAAATCGCTTGAACCCTGGGTATGGGGGTTGCAGTGAGCCGAGATCATGCCACTGCACTCCAGCCTGGCAACAGAGCAAGACTCCGTCTCAAAAAAAAAAAAAAAAAGTGTTCTCATCAGCAATGCGTGCACATCTTAAAGAAGACTTGAAGCCTGTAATCCCAGCACTTTGGGAGGCCGAGACGGGCGGATCACGAGGTCAGGAGATCTTCTTTTCTTCGAATACGCACGCGTCTGGCTCTACTCACACGCCAGGCAAGAGTGCAGGGGCGTGGTCGGTCCGCTCGATCACGTGCAGCCCTAACTCCCTGGGTTCAACGCGCTCCTCCACCTTCATGCATCCTGAGTAAGCTGAGAACTACCAGGCACAGCACCATCCACATCTAATTTTCTTTTTTGAAGTGGGATTTCACCAATGTTGCCCAGGCTGTCCTGGACTTATAGCTTGGGATTGCAAACCCACACACTCAGCTCCCCAACGTACTGACTATTAGAGCATGAGCACATGCCTTGGACTAATCTTATAGAATTTACAATACTAGAATGACCACTAAATTGGAGCTATATACGGTACAAATTTTTGCGGGATACTTATTCTTAATGTGAGTCTTGTTTTTTTGCATAAAGCAAGCTAATATCCAGACATCTTTGAAATCCAATATTCAGAAATTGATTGTTTGCAATTTTTAATTTTTTGTCATCCTGACTTTTTTTTTTTTTTTTTTGGAGATGGAGTCTCGCTTGCTTCACCCCATTGGAGTGCCAAGTATGATCTCAGCTCACTCGCACTCGTCCTCGCTGCGTTCAGCGATTCTCTGCTCGCCCTCTGAAGTAGTATGATTATCAGGTACGTGCACCCACACCGCTGATTTTTTGTCATTATTTATGTAAGCAGACAGGGGTTTCCATTCATGTTGGCCAGGCTGGTTTTGAACTCCTGACCTCAGGTGAACCCACTACCTCTTGGGCTCCCAAAGTGCTGGGATTAACACGGCGTGAGCCACCAACGCCCAGCCTCTGCCACAGTTTATATCAATGATTTACTTTGATTCATAAAGGAATTATGGAAGTGTTTCTTATTTTCTAATTGTCTTAATATTAAATGGAGCACTGGGAATATCTGAATTTTACTGATGGAAGTTTGGTAAAATTCTCCAGTTTAAAAACCTCTAAGCCACATTTAACAGTTCACTGACGGTATGTTACAAGGTGTCAAAATAATGTCAATGAGGAAAAAATTCTATTTAATATGTGACAATAGTCTAAAAAATGTCTGAAACAGTCCAGAGGCGTGGTGCGCCTCACACCTGTTAATTACCCAGCCACTTTGGGAAGGCTGAGGTGGCTGGATCATGGAGGTTCAAGAGATCGAGACCATCCTGGCCAAACCATGGTGGAAATCTCAGTCTCTACACAAAATACACAAAACTAGCTGGGCGTGGGTGTGCACACCTGTATCCCAGCTCTTCGGGTGAGGCTGAGGCAGGAAGATCATTTGAAACCGGCGAGGCGGATGTTGCCAGTGAGCTCAAGACTAGAGCACTGCACTCCAGCCTGCAACAGAGTAGTGAGCTCCATCTCAAAAAAAAAAAAAAAATAAAAAGCCAACTGGAACACACCATTTATAGCACACATTTGTAATTGCAAAATATGGAACAAGCCTCAATGCCCACTCACTAAATACAGGGGATAACAGAAAATGTCGGTGTATATATCACCTACATTAATATAACGTAGCCATAAAAAGCAGGAAAGTCCATCAGCATTCTGAGCACCTTGGATGAGACCATTATTCTAAGTGAGAGTTAACTCCAGGAATGGAAAACCATATATATAGTTGCTCTCCAAGTCGAACTAAGCTATGAGGAATGCAACGGCA